GTTTCATGGTGTAATGTCGTCCATAGGCTATTGCGTACACAGCACATCAATTATAAGCCTGGGATATCAACCATTCAAAGTTGGCCTTAGTGGGAGTGACCATAGAATTCTATAGGAGTGACCTGAGTCATCGTCACTAGTTAACACAGTCACAAAGTCATAATTATGGCTAAACCCTGCCCATTTCCACATTTATCTTCTTAAAATTTGATTTTAAACCTTATCCTGACTGAAGACCAAGTTTGATGCATTGGTCCACCAGACCTTCCGAGCATTTGGGAGGAAGTGTCTGGGATTGAGATTAGGTGTAATGTGACTAACATGACTTCACTTGGGAGCGTATGCCATCCATCATCAGAACATGTCACTATTTATATAAAGCACATGTTTATATCATATTTGACATAGTGGGTTATGTCACATTTGACATTGGTGATTATGTCACACAGTTATGCCACATTTATGAACCCTTTAAAGCATCACATATGGTTATATATGCTTTGTAACACATTTATGTAGTGCTTATAAAGGCATTCTGAAGCCTTTATGAACTGAACATCATTTAAAGCGGGACCGGGAAAATATTCAACCCTAATCTGGTCAACCATGATGTGCAGGCAAAATCAAAGTGACACTGGACTAGCGGACTAGCTTTTTTTGTTTTTGTTTTTTTACCACAGTCTTTAGGGTGTCTATAACTATTGCTTTCCATCCAATTGGTAACAGATTTTCATGTGAATGTTCTCAAATCTGCATATAAACAATATGAGGATTTCAGGGTTTACGAGACATCCATATGCATTCAGATTCGACTTGGCCCAGCCAGCCCCATCAATAAAGAAGGGATATTGGCCAAATGAGCCACAGTTACGTGTCCTTAAAAACAGCCTATAACAAATTTAAAAAGTACTATTCCTTGTGTTTCGATGTGTAGCCTATGCAAAACTTTATAGACTATTTTTTAAATACGTTTTTTTAGGCTACTTTCCTAAAACAATAATTTACACCTCACAGTTCTACTGTCGTAAATTTGAGCACTAAATGAATCAACGTATTGGATGCATAGGCCGGACTTGAACCCGATCTGACATCTCTGGAGAGACTTGAAAATAGCTGTTCAGCAACGCTCCCCATCCAACCTGACAGAGCTTGAGAGGATCTGCAGAGAAGAATGGGAGAAACTCCCCAAATACAGGTGTGCCAAGCTTGTAGCGTTATACCCAAGAAGACTCGAGGCTGTAATTGCTGCCAAAGGTCCTTCAACAAAGTACTGAGTAAACGGTCTGAATACTTATGTAAATGGTATATTTAGTAATATAGTAATATGAAACTGCAATATCATGGTGAAATCATTTGGAATGCTTGTTTCTAGGTATGTAGAGCTGCATCCCCTAGTTTAAATTCAAGTTTATTGTGTAGTGTAGGTATACTTCTAATAGGTGCATATCATCATAGTGGGTCTACCAACAAAAAATGTAACAATGGAGCAAAACTCTAGTTGTATTCATGACATTTTCTCATGCACATGGCACATGATTTCTATGATATACTTCACTTCAATCATATCTTAAAAATAGTGAATGCAATACTATAGTAATGTTTTATTTCATGTTGTGTCATAGAATTATTCAACATCAGGAGGGTCAGGGGCAAACGTCATAGGCTCAGATAATTGCAATGAAGTTGTTTTCAATATCAAACCAGCATTCAAGCAAAGACATGCACACATGAATAAGAAATACAGTTTTTCAACATGCATGTTCTTTCAGATAAGTTATTTTTAGAAAACAAGAGAAAGCCTTGTAGCCTAAACAAAGTATGAACTGTGGTAACAAACAACAATACATTTGATCTAAGAGGCCAGCTAAAATCTACACAACTGCTAATAATGTGAGTCGAATTAAAAACAAACCACAATGCTGTTTTGCACTTGAGGCACTTCCGTTACCATTTCATGTTGGTGCTTTGCACTAGTAAATGTTGTGTGATAATTACAGGACTTCTTTAATGTGGGTATTTATTGCAATGTCATTTTAATGCCACAGCAGTCTTGTAGTCCTGTCAGGGAGGTTGGTTTATGTAACACACACAACAGTGCGGCTCACATGGGTATCCAGTTATTTAGTGTGTGTGCACCCGTATGTGCGTGTTAGTGTGCAGATGTCCACTGCGCAGATGTACATTTTATTGGGGTTATCATCCTCAATGTTCAGAAGGCTCACGAGCTGAATCAAATGCAATTGTTAATGAAAGGAAGTGCTTCATTGTTGCTTTGTGCTCCTAATAAGTGTTTGCTTCCAGACCAGCGTTTCTTTCAATCAAGAACACTTCAGAATTATGGGTTTTTACAGGGAACATTCTCTCCTCAAAAGCAAATAAGTGCATACATTCTTTCCATTTCTGCCTCAGGTCTTCACTTCCAGAGCTTGTTTCACCTCATTACTGATCTCAGTGCTGCTGTTTGCCTCACTGGAGGCATGTCCACATGACTCATTATAGACAACTCGGGAAATGATTGTTGATAATGAGTTGATATCTTGCATTAACTGAAACACGTTAAAAGGGAAGTACTCACATCAGAGGTTATTATTTTTAATGTGGCTGATGTTAATGGTTTACAAAGACAGTTTTTCATGCCCCTCTAATTTTTGCTGTACTTGGCTTTTCCTCTTTTCCCAGTCTTTTCCTCTTGTGGGTGAATAAAAGCACTGGATGCACATGCGTCAAAAGATGTTCGTGCCTTCTTGGGTTTCCAACCTCGCCTGCATATATTGTTTTACCTTGGTTTATCTGCACTGTTTGTCTTTCACTGTCTTTTTTTGTGTGAATAAATACAACTAAAACTAAACTAATTTGCTTTACTTTCCCCTCAACCAAAGCATCTGGTATGTTTTAAACATGTATTTCAATTGTGTCATTGTTTCTGAAGTCTATTCTGATAAGTGATACATCCAGTACACTTCAGGCATGGGTCCTTACAGAAAACATTAATTTATAAGAAACCAATGAGTTTTCATGAATACACAGTTCCTATGCAAACATCTGAAATTGTACATGTACTATAAATCCTAGTCCCAAAACAAATAAAAAGGAAGTTTGTTCTGAAGTGTCTGTCCTACAGTGCATTCGGAAAGTATTCAGACCCCTTGACTTTTTCCACATTGTTACGTTACAGCCTTATTCTAAAATTGATTAAATTGTTTTTTCCCCCTCATCAATCTACACACAATACCCCATAATGACAAAGCAAAAACAGGTTTTTAGACGTTTGCACATTTATTAAAATTTTAAAGCTGAAAATAACATTTACATAAGTATTCAGACCCTTTACTCAGTACTTTGTTGAAGCACCTTTGGCAGCGATTAAAGCCTTGAGTCTTCTTGGGTATGATGCTACAAGCTTGGCACACCTGTATTTGGGGAGTTTCTCCCGTTCTTCTCTGCAGATCCTTTTAAGCTCTGTCAGGTTGGATGGTGAACAGCTCAAATCAATCAATAACTTTAAAAGGAGAAAGGGGAATCACCTTGTTTATTGTTTATAATCAACTCAACTAGTGCTGGAGGTTTGTAAATAGCCCTTTGTGTGATTTTTTAAATGTCTGATGAGACTCACTATGACCCCTCTGGTGGGCTAATGGGGTACTTTTGTTGCATGCACGCAAACTCAAGTCTTTTGCTCATGACAATTTCAAAATACCATCAAACAAAAATCTAAGACGTTAACAAGTGATGTTCAAGTTAAAATGTTTTTTTGTCCATTTCAGGAACTACTGTATGAGGCCCTCAGAATGCACTTGATGTTCACTCTGTGTGCCACAGGTAAAGGCTACAATACTGAGAGTTATATGGGCATTCATATAAGGGGACCGATTTGTGATATAAAGGATTCCTATTTCCAAACCATATGATAGTGGGTCAACCATATCAGAACATTTTGCCATAAGCATGTAAGTAATATAAAGTGGGTGTCACACCCTGGCTCTGGGACTCATTATGTTGAGCCAGGGTGTGTTCATTCTATGTGTTTATTTCTATGTTGGTAGTTCTGTTGTGTTTATTTCTAGGTTGGTCTGAGTGACTCCCAATCAGAGGCAACGAGTGTCAGCTGTTTGCTGGTTGTCTCTGATTGGGAGCCATATTTAACTGTCTGTGTTTCACTTTGGGTTTGTGGGTTTTTGTTCCTTGTCGGTCTTTGTCACCGTGGACTTCACGAGTCGTTTCTTGTTTTGTATTTGAGTTTTGTGCTTTAACTAATTAAAGTAAAGTATGTTCGTTCAACACGCTGCGCATTGGTCTACTCACTCCTACGACGATCGTGACAGTGGGCCATGAACAAAAACTATTACCATCACAATACACAATCGCCAACAGAAAGTATCAGACATTACTTTAAAATGTTCATTCCATCAAAATTAATTGATTACCATACAAAAATATGAATATTTTACATGAATTTAAAAAACACATATACGCTTGCAAAGGTTGATCATCTAGGTTCTGAATCCCAGTCTAGGTTAGGGAATGACAAGCTTGGTGTGTTCAGATTGTGTGCGATAATAATGGGCTTCTAGGGGGAGGGACCTATAGTGAGTCAGATTAAAATACACTTGCTATAACTAGTGGCAGAGACAAGGTCGAAGCCGACACTAAAGAGAGAGAGACAGACAGAAACAGAGACAGAGAGAGACAGAGAGAAGGACTAGAAGTGAGATAGAGGGAGTAAAAGACACTAAGAAAAAGGTTGTGTAAATGAGGAAGAAAGACACTTGCTTTATCTCGTGGCAAGGAGGAGATTGACGCTACCACACAGAAAGGAAGATAGAGAAGGAAGACAAGAGAGCGAGATTGAGAGAGGCAAAGATTGTGCAAGAAGAGTGCAAAGGAGGAGAGGAAGGGAGGAGGGAGTGTGTGAGAGCGAGAGAGGGAGAGAGGGCATAGGAAGAGCAGAGCGCAGAGCAGGTTCTTTTGCAGGCACAACCTTACTGTCAGCCCCAGCAGAAATGGCCAACTTTGCAGGCACCTGGAAAATGAAGAGCAGTGAGAATTTTGATGAACTTCTCAAAGCACTTGGTAAGCCCATTCTTGCCATTTTGTCTCTCTCTCTCTCTCCATCCCTCTCTTTTTTTTCTTCAGTAGCCTGCCCAGTGCATCCCTGCGTGAGTTTTAGCCTATTATCCATCATGTGCATAAAAAAAAGAAGCTTTTATTTTCATTGGGCATGGATTGCTTCACTTCCAACAGTATGCTAATTGTCTTCTCTTATCTAAAAGGGTAGGGAAAGAGCATAAAGCAAGCTGTTACGGGAAGCCTTCCCCTACAGAAGATGTGTGAAAAATTGGATATAGAAAGACAATGATATACCAATAGACATGGTATTGTTACAGCCGGGGTCCGGCTGCCGGCTGCATGTGCATGGGAACAACATTATTCAAGAATTAAAGGCAGAGTGAAGTCGAAAACGTGATTTTCCTGTGTTTTATATATATTTCCGCACTATGAGGTTGGAATAATACTGTGAAATTGTTTAAATTATGATAATGCCCTTTTAGTGTAAGAGCTTTTTGAAAAACCGCCTGAAATTTCAGCCTGTTTTGGTGGGGTGGGATGGAGTTATGTTTCACTATATTGGATCACTCCAATATATTGGTATCCCTCCACGGCGGAGGGATACATCCGAGGTGAGGATTTACCCCTATATATACAGTGAGGGAAAAAAAGTGTTTGATCCCCTGCTGATTTTGTACGTTTGCCCACTGACAAAGAAATGATCAGTCTATTATTTTAATGGTAGGTTTATTTGAACAGTGAGAGACAGAATAACAACAAAATAATCCAGAAAAACGCATGTCAAAAATGTTATAAATTTATTTGCATTTTAATGAGGGAAATAAGTATTTGACCCCCTCTCAATCAGAAAGATTTCTGGCTCCCAGGTGTCTTTTATACAGGTAACGAGCTGAGATCAGGAATACACTCTTAACATTTACATTTACGTCATTTAGCAGACGCTCTTATCCAGAGCGACTTACAGTTAGTGCATACATTATTTTATTTATTTTTCATACTGGCCCCCCATGGGAATCGAACCCACAACCCTGGCGTTGCAAACGCCATGCTCTACCAACTGAGCTACCTCCCCTACCCTGGACGACGCTGGGCCAATTGTGTGCCGCCCCATTGGTCTCCCGGTTGCGGCCGGCTACAGCAGAGCCTGGATTCGAACCAGGATCTCTAGTGGCACAGCTAGCACTGCGATGCAGTGCCTTAGACCACTGCGCCACTCGGGAGGTTGGGCCACTTAAAGGGAGTGCTCCTAATCTCATCTTGTTACCTGTATAAAAGACACCTGTCCACAGAAGCAATCAATCAATCAGACTCCAAACTCTCCACCATGGCCAAGACCAAAGAGCTCTCCAAGGATGTCAGGGACAAGATTGTAGACCTACAGAAGGCTGGAATGGGCTACAAGACCATCGCCAAGCAGTTTGGTGAGAAGGTGACAACAGTTGGTGCAATTATTCGCAAATGGAAGAAAAACAAAAGGACTGTCAATCTCCCTCGGCCTGGGGCTCCATGCAAGATCTCACCTCATGGAGTTGCAATGATCATGAGAACGGTGAGGAATCAGCCCAGATGTCACGATCATCGGATATAGAGGACCAAGGCGCAGCGTGGAAGGTGAACATACTTATTTATTAAATGATACACGAACATAACAACAAATCGATACGTGACGTCCACAGGTGCAAAACACAAACACTGTGGGAAAACCACCTGACTAAATATGGTTCCCAATCAGAGACAACCAGCAACAGCTGATACTCGTTGCCTCTGATTGAGAACCACTCTGGCCAACATAGATATACAAAACTCGACTAGACACAACGAGCACAAAACATAAACTCTACACACCCTGGCTCAACTTAAAAGAGTCCCTAGAGCCAGGGCGTGACACCAGAACTACACGGGAGGATCTTGTCAATGATCTCAAGGCAGCTGGGACCATAGTTACCAAGAAAACAATTGGTAACACACTACGCCATGAAGGACTGAAATCCTTCAGCGCCCGCAAGGTCCCCCTGCTCAAGAAACCACATATACATGCCCGTCTGAAGATTTCCAATGAACATCTGAATGTTTCAGAGGAGAACTGGGTGAAAGTGTTGTGGTCAGATGAGACCAAAATGGAGCTCTGTATCTTCCACCCGTGGTTTGTCGTACTTCTGTTTCGTTAGCGTTACACTACGACTCCGTGAGCATTCTTTAGTATAGTGGCTGCACAAACTGTAATTTACCATACACAACTTGCCGACTGGCTTGTTCTATGTGTGTGTTGTGAATAGCTTTAACATGCTGTTCCCCAAGCCATAGGCGCGATTTCTCTGCTAATTACCCTGCAGGGTTTTTTCTTCTTATTTCCTCTGCAGAGTGTAAGAGTATTGTGGTGGGCTTTCCACTACGTTGAGACATTAACTTTAGAGTTTCTTAATGGAGTTACTCCATCATATGGTGCTGTTTTTGCTGCTTTGATATTAAACCGGCTAGGTAATATTGCATTTGGCGTAAAACAAAAAAACAAATAAATCAAATCCATTACCTGGTTACACGGGTCTACCCCGATAATTTATCACTCACCGGGTTCCTATTCCTCCAAGCGGGTCACGACATAAGCTCTCCGTGGCCTTGTTGGCTTGGCTGAGCTTATGGCTTCCCTTTGTGACAGGTGTGATGGTGGCATCCCCCCTCGGGATCCGCATACCTCGTGTATGTACTGCCTGGGTTTGAGCAATGCGGAGAGGGCGGTGGAGCGCCCTACAGGATGCCTGTTTTGTGTGGTGTTCGCAGAACGCCTGTGCCTGGCGCAATTGGAGGCCATGTGCGAGTGGGTCGGCCAGGCTCGGGCTCAGGTTCAGGCTCAGGCTGGGGACGAGCTCCCTTCCTCAGGAGTGGTGCGCCAGCGAGCTGTTAGTCCCTCTACTGGGCCCAGTACCCCTCCCAGGAAGCGTGGCCGGAGCCATCGCAGGCAAGAGGCAGGAGTCGGACCGCTGGGACCACCTGGAATAGAGGGCACATGCCCTGCGTCAGAAGGTTGATAGCTTCAGTGGTGACGACAGCTGTTCCCTGTTGGCCAGTGATAGGCTGTTCCTGGGGGACGATGCTGGCACTGTTCACCGTCAGAAGCCGGCAGCCAAGCTTCATCGCCCCCAGCGGCTCGAGAGGCTATGAGGAGCCTACTCACTCGGGTAGCCACTGCACTGGACATCAAACTGGTGGACAGTGATGACTCTCCATCTGCAGTCTCTGCTGAGGTCCACGAGGCCTTGCAGGAGAGCTGGGTCTCTGCCAGGGGGTGCTTCCGACTCACAGCAGAGACTGGACCATGGAGTTATGGTGTGGGCGTGGAGTCACTCGGCCTCCAGGAGTACCCGACCACGGACACCATGATAGCTGCTATGGTCCTCCCGGACCAGGAGATTATAGGGCGGAACCCGCGACTGAATCCGGGACCACCCCCACCCCCAGAGTCTTTGATGCAGACTTGAAAGCCACATATCGGTCCCTCTGCTCTCTTACCAATGCGGCCATGCTGCTGTAGGCCTACCTGCAGACTCTGTTGCCCCGGCTGCAGGAGGGCACAGAGGAGCTCCTCCGGGAAGCGATGGAGGTATCTCGCCTGCTTTCCCTGCTCCAGAGTGATGTGGCCTGCGCCATCGGACGGGCCATGGCGCAGGTGGTTACCTCCCTGCGCAATCTCTGGCTGGCCCAATCCCGTCTTCCAGCTGCTCTCCAGAGCACATTTGCCCCTCTCCCCATCACCCCAGGGCTGACGTTCGTCACCCACATGCACCCGAACGATGGGGGGGTTCCCTCTCCTGCCCCATCGCCTCGTGCTGAGGGACGACAGCGGGGAGGGGCACAGCATTCAGTGAAGCAACAACCTGTCAACTGTCACCGCCATAGGGACGTGCCTGGGGGACCCAGGCGCTCGGGGCGCCAGAGGAGAGGCGGGCCCCGGCTGGACCCCTGACACACCCTTCCCCGGCCGCTTCTCCCAGTCTCAAAGGGCAAAGTGGGAGGAGGGTGTGTAGTCCCCCTGGGTGATGCTCGAGGGGTACCGACTCCAATTCCGGTGCCGGCCACCCGTCCTTCAGGGGCCTTCGTGTCACCACGGTGGCCGACTGATTCTGGACCTCTGCAACTTCAATGGGTACTTGAAGGTACTGGAGGATCCACATGCTCTCCCCAGCCAGTGTGTTGCAGGCCGTGTCCAAGGACCAGTGGTTTGTGACGCTGGACCTGAGGGATGCGTACTTCCATGTTCTTGTTCACCCAGCTCATTGGCAGTACCTCCGATTCGCTTTTGATGGGACGGCTTACGAATTTATGGTTCTTCCCTTCGGCCTCTCCTTGGCACCCCATACTTTCACAAAGTGCATGGACACTGTCCTGGCACCTCTCACGTCCTGAGGATTGTTGATCCTCAATTACCTGGATGATTGGCTGATTTGTGCCACGACCAGGACCCAGCTCCTGTCAGATAGAGACACGCTCCTGACCCACATTGGCGGACCCCAGCCGTGACACAGGTGTACACGGGAGTAAATCTGTAAATCCTCACCTCGGATGTATCCCTCCGACGTGGAGTGATACAAAATATATTGGAAGTTATCCATATAGCTCACATAACCATGGTTACATACGTAACCTTCGTTTTTGTCTGTCTGGTGACATCACCAGGCGGCTAATTAGTTAATAGGTCAATAAGAAAGAGAGTTCCAAACCTCTCTGCCAATAACAGCTAGTTTTCAGTTTAACCCTTCCCACTCAGACCACTCCCAGACAGTCCTAGCTAAATTATTGCTTGAGAAATTGCTCTTTGCTAAGAAGCTATGTTTGTTTCTTATTGACCATTTTAAAACAATCACAGTAACTAACTTAATTGTTACCCAGAAATTATATGATATTGACATAAATACATCTGGGACCTTTAACGTTTAAGTAGGGCACGCATTAGCAGTGTCAGTGGGGGTCTCTAGAGCCCTATGGAATTCTCTCCGGTTCTGCCTTGTGTTTTTTCTCCCTCACTTGCTTTTATTCCTTGCTGTTCATTGTTTAACCAGGTCATTCATTTGTGTGACTGGGTTTCTCGGTGTCTGGACTGTAAGCACTGTGCCGCTCAAGCAACAGGACCGGACATGTCTTATTTTGTGGTTTTGGGAGGAATATTCCCTATGGGGCTGTTTTGGTTAGCTCGTTGCTCAGAGGATGGTTTTGAGTTGTGAGCACCATTAACCCCACGAGAGCCAATGTCAACAAATTTGCTGAGTGGGAAAACTTTTTTAATTGTACACAGAAACATTTTATAGTACTGTCTTTCCAGGTACTAATTAAGTTAACATTACATTTCAAGCCATGGCTTTAAAACTGCCCAATTATTTTTCATTCATTAATTTTAAATCAATTACCTGAGTTGATTGAAGTTTACTGACCTTGCTTAGCCTCCACCAAACGGATCCAGTGAACCACTGAGCTTTGATTACATTTTCCCAGTGAGATGTCTGCCAACCCATCACAGCACAGTTCAGCTATAACCCAATAGGGACCATTCTTCCTGGTTAGGACCAAATGGCTCAGAGAGATCGCATGCATTCTGTCTTTTCAGCGCTTCGTCAAGTTGTGCCAACATAAATAATAAATAAATAATATGCCATTTAGCAGACGCTTTTATCCAAAGCGACTTACAGTCATGCGTGCATACATTTTTTGTGTATGGGTGGTCCCGGGGATCGAACCCACTACCTTGGCGTTACAAGCGCCGTGCTCTACCAGCTGAGCCCATGCAGATCATTTGTTTCTTCTTGCATAAGTGGCTGGTCAACTGAGATCCATGCATTAGCCTAATGTGGATTCCGACGCCGCTACACTTGTTTCTATCAACGTTCCTATAATCATCTGTTGACTTGAAGGAGGGCTGCACTGTGGACCATGATACCGTTTTTTCTCACCATGGCAGCACAAAAAGAACATGCAGTGCTGTGCGTAGCTTAGCGCTCTGATGTGATGTCAGTGTACATATGCTATACCCTGGTCAAGGGCTCGTTTCGTGGTCTTGCTGGTTGCATTCTATAGATGGTTAAGGTTAGGACTACTGTTAGGACTTCTGTAGATACTGATCGTAGGCCAGTTGCTAAGTGCTGAAAGTATCCAAAGCCCTTGATGATCGATGCATGTTTGAGGGCAACCAGAGAGGGTGAAAGTCTGGGAGTGAGTCCTACTACTTGGATAACCCACAATCCAACAGTGATTCTGTATCTGTGGCCATTTTGAGGGTGAGATGAGATGGACAGTGCAGGGAGAGACCAGCAAGACCTGTCAGGGCTGTCCTTGAGTAGGAAGGGTGACACATTGGGCATAGGGGTGGCCAGACAGACTTGCAGAGTGGCACACGGCATGCCAAAGCACTCCCCTCATGCCAGGAGTTTGCCACGCGTCTCAGTCACTGCTTTACATGGCCAGCCCCCAGATTCTCCAAAACCCAATTCGGATCTGGCCCTGTCACACAACAAGTGTTTTTTTTTTTCTCCCTCGTGGCAATCAGGCCAAATACTTAATCTCTCACAAACCGCAGTGCCAAAATTCCTCAGATTTCTCCTCAGGTTTTTAGCAACAGATTTATTGAGGCTACTCCCAAGGGCCCAAAGCATTTGTCTTATTTGTCTTTCTTTCCACCCAAAGTTCCATATACCGTTATTTATGCGCTGCAATATATGCTTCTTGGCTAACAACCAGGGGCTGTGGAAACCACAGAGCACTTTCCAGAAGAACAATGCTCTACTATTATGGTTTACCACATTCAATTGGTGTCTGTTGAAGAAAAGCTATTCATTCAGTTGGCCTATCATGGATTTAAAAGTAAGAGAAGAGAGTCCACAAAGATTCCAAGAGTGAGAGAGAGTTAGGGAGAGGTGGTGTGGTGAGAGAGGGGTAGGTCGGTGGGGAGGGTCAAGTTGAGTACTGTTTTGGGCTAAATCTTGTCCAGACGAATCTAAGTGGTGGGTGGTGTCTGTCTGTCTGAATCAGGCCTAACTCCCTTTGGCATCTGCCCCCGTCTCCCTTCCTGGTCTGTGCTCTGCCAATCCAGGCGTGAACGCCATGCTGAGGAAGGTGGCTGGGGCGGCTGCCTCCAAGCCCCATGTGGAGATCCGCCAGGACGGGGAGCAGTTCTACATCAAGACCTCCACCACCGTCCGCACCACCGAGATCAACTTCCACATCGGCCAGGAGTTCGACGAGGAGACAGTGGACGGCAGGAAATGCAAGGTAATGTGGAAAGGGTATCATCCATAGTGCTGTACAGGTACATGTTGCCCCTTAGTAAGTGTAATGCAAATAGATTTCAATACAACCATATTGGACATGAAGTCAATCATGCAGAAGTTTTGTCTGATTTTGGCAAGTTACACATAATATGCATACATTTTTCTACTCAGTTACATAAACACTTTTCTTAGTGAATCTTCTTGTTCAGTTCAATGGCTTCCTTGACTACATATGATACAGTAAATACAAAACATTTCAGGCAGAGAACTCTGATCACAGCGCCTGATTAAACCAATCTAATAAATTGTGCTAATTGTGGGAATGAAACTATTTTCATTGAAATATATTTCTGAATACAGTTAAGGAATATGTGTATGGGTTACCACCACCCATAGAGTTTAATCAGTATGCCAAAACAAACACAGAAAATGTTTGACTATGTTTGGAGGGGGGAGAGAGAGTTACTGTACATTTGGAATTGGGGCAATTTGTCTTCAGCAGGAAGCAGCCACAGTATCAACTGATGTTAAGAATAGAAATGATACTTTTAACATTATTTTTCAACATGATTCTACTTAATCAGGTAAAAACAACTGAATGAGCCCAATAATGTGCTATGATTCATTGATTTTAATGACATTAGTGAAATCTTGAAATAAGTTTGTCCTGGCTAGTATCATGCTCCCGTCTGAGGAAGTGGATTAAAGGGCTGACACAGATGAGATAGATGGGGCCTCTCGCTAGGCTTTGGCCCATAGGGGGAACTCTCCCACAGATCCTTGAATATGATAGTGTTGCATGAAGACTGTGTAGGTAAGCGCTAACAATACAACAGAATACAATTGGGTTGCTCCATTTTATAATTTATTGCAATTAAAAGCATAAACATACCCCCTGAAATTATCCTTACCTTGATCCCTGAAATTATCCGTACCTTGATCCCTGAAAGGATCCTTATTAGTTCATGTTATGTAACTGACCTGTAGGACACGATCAGAGTAGAATGACTGATGTAAAAGGACAGCTATCAAATAATAGCCAGTATCTTCCTGTGTGTTTCTCTTCCCTTCTGTTCTCATGTGTTCTCAATTTCACCATAAGCTTTGGGACAACCATAACAATTGCCCTGTTAATTTATACCAATAGTTGAATCTCTTGTATAGAGCGTTATAATACTTTTTGTAAGCATTCATAACAGCTCATGGGTCCTTGTAGTCTCGCTTACAAGACTCTTGGCGCTCCCCTTAAGGCGCTTCACCTATACAGTGGCTGTGGGAAGAGACTAGGGTCCAACATAAATTAGCTTACATCAATAAATATATTTATTACACAATAGCATAGTGATTGTAATCCAACTCTCCTCGCTGCCTCCACATAGGGTCGACAGTAAAGTGGACATTCACTTTAATTTGGCCTATCAAGATGTGCTATCTGAACCAAAGGAGCCGCTCAGTCCTTAGCAACCCTAAAGCCATGGCAACCTCTCTCCTTTCTTTGGGGTCGAAAAACAAGCCGTTGTTCAGAATGAGCAGGTCACAATGCCACGTCAGCGCATATGCACTGTGACTCAGCCCTCTTAATCGAATACAAGGCACAGCACCAGTCCCTAGTTACAGATTGATTTTCCACCAACCAATTGAAACTAATAAACTCAACCTCAAGTGCACAAAACAGCTTTTTCTACTTCATTTTAATCACATTAATTGTCCTATCGAATAACAATACCATGATAAATTCTGAATGAAATAAGTTTTTATGCTATTATGAACATTTACAAAATATTGACTTCCACGGCAATAAAAAGGCACTGATGATGGTATAACGTTGACACGTATGCTTTTCTGTTAGACTTTTCTGCATTCAGCACCTGCACTTTTTTGTACTCACCTTCAAGCATAAGGCAAATACAAAAATATTTGTTTCTGTCTCGGTCTCCAGCAAGTTTCCTTGTTTTGTGGTTTGAGTGTGAGTTCAGCATCTCAGAGCCATAATAAGCCATCTGCTACAGTTTGAACCAAGTCACATCAGGTAACCTGTTGCATTTAGGAGACATCTGAAGAACATGGACCTTCCATTCTAGAGTTAGTCATTTTAAATGCGATTAATATAAGTTTAAGTATTTACCGGCAATCACAGAAGAAGAAGATGGCTGCCGTTTTACAGCCCTCTAACCAATTGTACTATTATGTGTGTTTTTCCGCGTTATTTGTAACTTATTTTGTACATAATGTTTCTGCCATCGTCTCTTATAACCAAAAAGAGCTTCTGGATATCAGGACAGCGATTACTCACCTCGTATTGGACGAAGATTTTTTCTTCAACGAGGCGGCCGCGAAGGATATCATACAGACACCCGACAAGGCCCAAATCCCCGTCATTCGCGTGAGGAAGAGACGGAGATATCGTGGACGGAGATCGGGGTGCCTTGTAAGGATCCGACGGCGAGCGAGTAAACTGCCTCTTCCATCAATCCTATTAGCCAACGTTCAATCTTTTGAAAATAAAGTGGACGACTTAAGATTACGGTTATCCTACCAACGGGACATTAAAAACTGTAATATATTATGTTTCACCGAGTCGTGGCTGAACGACGACAATGATAACATTCAGCTAGCAGGCTATACGCTACATCGGCAGGACAAAACGGCTGACTCCGGTAAGACAAGGGGTGGCGGTCTGTGTATATTTGTAAACAACAGCTGGTGCACAAAATCAAATACTAAGGAAGTCTCGAGGTTTTGCTCGCCTGAGGTAGAGTATCTTATGATAAGCTGTAGACCACACTATTTACCAAGAGAGTTTTCATCTATATTTTTCATAGCTGTCTATTTACCACCACAAACCAATGCTGGCATTAAGATTGCACTGAATGAGTTGTACAAGGCCATTAATCAACAGGAAAACGCTCATCCAGATGCAGCGCTCCTAGTAGCCGGGGACTTTAATGCAGGGAAACTTAAATCCGTTCTACCTAATTTCTACCAGCATGTTAAATGTGCAACCAGAGGGAAAAAAACTCTAGACCACCTTTACTCCACACACAGAGACGCATACAAAGCTCTCCCTCGCCCTCCATTTGGCAAATCTGACCATAACTCTATCCTCCTGATTCCTGCTTATAAGCAAAAACTAAAGCAGGAAGCACCAGTGACTCGGTTAATAAAAAAGTGGTCAGATGACGCAGATGCTAAGCTACAGGACTGTTTTGCAAGCACAGACTGGAACATGTTCCGGGATTCTTCAGACAGCATTGAGGAGTACACCACATCAGTCACTGGCTTCATCAATAAGTGCATCGATGATGTCGTCCCCACAGTGACCGTACGTACATACCCCAACCAGAAGCCATGGATTACAGGAAACATCCGCACTGAGCTAAAGGGTAGAGCTGCCGCTTTCAAGGAACGGGACTCTAACCCGGACGCTTATAAGAAATCCCGCTATGACCTCCGACGAACCATCAAACAGGCAAAGAGTCAATACAGGTCTAAGATTGAATCGTACTACACTGGCTCTGACGCTCGTCGGATGTGGCAGGGCTTGAAAACTATTACAGACTACAAAGGGAAGCACAGCCGCGAGCTGCCCAGTGACACAAGCCTACCAGACGAGCTAAACCACTTCTATGCTCGCTTCGAGGCAAGCAACACTGAAGCATGCATGAGAGCACCAGCTGTTCCGGATGACTATGTGATCACGCTCTCCGTAGCCGATGTGAGTAAGACTTTTAAGCAGGTCAACATTCACAAGGCCGCAGGGCCAGACGGATTACCAGGACGTGTACTCCGAGCATGTGCTGACCAACTGGCAAGTGTCTTCACTGACATGTTCAACATGTCCCTGACTGAGTCTGTAATACCAACATGTTTCAAGCAGACCACCATAGTCCCCGTGCCCAAGGACTCTAAGATAACCTGCCTAAATGACTACCGACCCGTAGCACTGACGTCTGTAGCCATGAAGTGCTTTGAAAGGCTGGTCATGGCTCACATCAACAGCATTATCCCAGAAACCCTAGACCCACTCCAATTTGCATAACGCCCCAACAGATCCACAGATTATGCAATCTCTATTGCACTCCACACTGCCCTTTCCCACCTGGACAAGAGGAACACCTACGTGAGAGTGCTATTCATTGACTACAGCTCAGCATTCAACACCATAGTGCCCTCTAAGCTCATCACTAAGCTAAGGATCCTGGGACTAAACACCTCCCTCTGCAACTGGATCCTGGACTTCCTGACGGGCCTCCCCCAGGTGGTAAGGGTAGGTAACAACACATCTGCCACACTGATCCTCAACACGGGGGCCCCTCAGGGGTGCGTGCTCAATCCCCTCCTGTACTCTCTGTTCACCCATGACTGCATGGCCAGGCACGACTCCAACACCATCATTAAGTTTGCCGACGACACAACAGTGGTAGGCCTGATCACCGACAATGATGAGACAGCCTATAGGGAGGAGGTCAGAGATCTGGCCGTGTGGTGCCAGGACAACAACCTCTCCCTCAACGTGACCAAGACAAAGGAGATGATTGTGGACTACAGGAAAAAAAAAGAGGACTGAGCACGCCCCCATTCTCATCGACGGGGCTGTAGTGGAACAGGTTGAGAGCTTCAAGTTCCTTGGTGTCCACATCACCAACGAACTATCATGGTCCAAACACACCAAGACAGTCGTGAAGAGGGCACGACAAAGCCTATTTCCCCTCAGGAGACTGAAAAGATTTGGCATGGGTCCTCAGATCCTCAAAAAATTATACAGCTGCACCATCGAGAGCATCCTGACTGGTTGCATCACCGCCTGGTATGGCAACTGCTTGGCCTCCGACCGCAAGGCACTACAGAGGGTAGTGCGTACGGCCCAGTACATCACTGGGGCAAAGCTTCCTGCCATCCAGGAACTCTATACCAGGCGGTGTCAGAGGAAGGCCCTCAAAATTGTCAAAGACTCCAGCCACCCTAGTCATAGACTGTTCTCTCTGCTACCGCACGGCAAGCGGTACCGGAGTGCCAAGTCTAGGTCCAAAAGACTTCTCAACAGCTTCTACCCCCAAGCCATAAGACTCCTGAACAGCTAATCATGGCTACCCGGACTATTTGCACTGCCCCCCCACCCCATCCTTTTTACGCTGCTGCTACTCTGTTAAGTATTTATGCATAGTCACTTTAACTCTACCCCCGGTGCCCCCGCACATTGACTCTGCAACGGTACCCCCCTGTATATATAGCCTCC